CTTTGTAGTTTCAGAAGTCAACAATGGCCTCTCAGGGAGAAAGGCAACCATGTTAGAAAACAACACTTTTCTGATTTGCCTGTTCAGTCAAAATTTGACAAATATTTCAGTGCTTTATCCTAATTCAGCTGTAACAGATTCTAGCGAGGCAATCACAACAGAAAATGGCTTTAGTACATAAAGTTTGGCTTTAGTATATTATGGCTTTAGCACATTATGTTAGTGAGAACATAATTATTTGCATTTGAATAAAACATACCTTTGTCAGGGATACTGCATTTATCTGAAAGAAGGATAAAATTTAGGACAGTTTTGATACCATATTGATCTGGGAAAAAATAAAAAAAATAGATGAATTATTCATAGAAAAGAATGTGCCCCCTATTACTACATCCCCTCAATTAATTTAAAGATGCTAATTGTTTCTTTAGGAAGCAAACTTTTTAAAGGGGAAAATAATATTCCTTTCAGGTACATGGAATAACGCAGGAAAAACTGGGATTAAATTAATTGGTAATACAGTTATGGGTTTCTGTGAACTCAGATTTAATTTTGTAATGCAGAATAAATTCAAGAAAGATACATCTATATACTAAAGGTCTCATTATGATCTTTAATAGTGTGAAACAGTGCAGCATAGGCAACAATATTTGAACCAAGGTACTGAGGGAAGTCAGCCCCCCAGAGAAGGAAATATTAAAAGGGCAGAAAAAATATATTTCCTCAAAATGATTTTAAAAACAGAAGCCAACCTTGCCCCCAAATCTCTCTGTCCCAAGCAGAAGCCAGCTCTGTACAAATGCAGATGAAAACCATCAGAAAGGCCCCAGCTAGGAGATCAAGAAAACAAAGACCTAAAATCTGCATACCCCACCTGAGATGGGACATAATAGGACTAACCCATCACCAGCAAGAATACCAGAGAGGCACATCTAGACTCAGGTCAGAATACGTGACACAGGAAATAGCCTCAAAGTTCATGCCACAGGAACAGGAAACCATTCCAAAAAAAGGCTTTCAGAGGGTATAAAAACCTACTCACCACATATGCTCAGCCCTTTTTGTCTTCTCTCACTTGCCAGAACCATCTTTTTGTCTGGCTCTTCTTTCTGCAACCTTCTTTCTAAAGTAGTTGCCTTCTTTCTAAAGCAGTCGCCATGTTTATTTATCCCCAGCTTGGATGAACCAGGATGAAGACTTTTCCTTCAACAGTACAGAATATGTCTATCATCTGGGACCCATGACTCTGGAGGGAATAAAATTAGGGGAAGTTGTAGCTGCTTCAGTGCTACTCTCTTGCAATCCCTCACTGCCTCTTCCACCCAGCAGTAGTAATTTACTTGTCTGTTGGGAAGGGAAGGGAAGGGAAGGGAAGGGAAGGGAGATTTCCAATGAGTCCTACCAAATTCCCACAAGGAAACTTAATGGGGTTTTGCAGTTTCCTTGCTCCTGCTTCCATTGCTTTTTTGCCTCCCCTTAAGTCATTTTGTTTCTGTGTTTAGGTAAGGAAATATTTCTGAAATGATCACCCTTCAGATTATCTAGTAGCAGTTATAGATGAAGTGCTTGTCTACTGAAAGTCTAAATTTGAAGGAGTTCAAGAGAAAGAGGAAAGAATAGTTTGTGCATCTGTCAGAATGGTGTCTCTGTTTGTGTTCTGTAGGCATTGGTGGTGCTTGGCAGCATGCATTTTGAGGCACCAACGATGATGGTTTTGATATTTGTGGTACTGGATTCACTGAGTTTTAAAAATATACTGATTGGCTGCACAGGGCTGTTTTTAAGCCTCATGCTGTGCAGGCCTGAACTAGTTTCTTATGAAATCACCTTGGGGAGAATACTTTCTCCAAACTGAGACATTGGTGTGGAAATTCACACTTTTAAAACTCTGCATATTTATATTCCTTCTCAGCATTTGGTTTTAGAAGACCTTAATTTTGTGAGGAAATACATTTTAGCTCTTGCTGAACTGTTCTTTTTATTTTTGGCCTGTATTTTTAGTCTGTTTCTAGCCTGCCTGGATATTTTATATGTTTGTTACCTTGATTCTTAATCTCTGCTTTGTATATTGCAATTTATGCAGCATTCTGTGTTTAATTGATTTTATAATCGTATAGTTACATGTTTTATCTGCATTACCCTCAGGTTTATAGAATTATTCTTAAGCTGAATGAATACATAATATTGATGCTTTTAGCTCTGCATGATTTTTAAATTAGCTGTTGTGTTAATGGGTTAAGTTTGTTTTATCTTTGTTTGTTCTCTTGTATTCTCCACTTGGAGAACAATTTGTTACAGGAAATTATAAATAAGTGAATGCTTTGACCAAGTGTGAAAAATGGCAGCTAGAGACAATGAGAAGAGAAGGCTGTATTGCTCGAAGATACAATCTTTCCTTTGGAAATGGGGTGGGCAGGGACTTACAACTTGATTCAAAATTATTTGCAAAGGGTACAAACATAGTTTCAATTGGCATTTGACTCCCATGCATATTAATATTAAAACACATTGAAATCTTAAATGAAATATTATCAGTCATTATGGATATGTGAGTGTGAGTGAAAAGGGAACATCCTTCGTTCTCTTATATTTAAAAGAAGGCTGCTTTGTCTTTTTTATATATAATTTTTTATTTTTTAAACCAACAAAACAAAATAAAACATAACACACATACACACACAGTGTATACTCCTCCCTTTTTTTAACAGGAATTTCGTAATGGTAATCTTCTATTATTTACATTTCCCCCCTTATTCTTCTTTAGCATATTTATCCTTATTGTCCCGTTGTTTTTATTATACACACATTTTCCACTTTTGACCTTTCCACATTTATTCTCCTCTATTATTTCTAGTCTCCAACCAGTCATACCACTTGTTCCACATTAGATAATACTCTGTGTCTTCCTTTTCTTTTATCTCTTTTGTTAATTTGTCCATCTCAGCACAGTCCAGGATTTTTCTTATCACTTCTTCCTCTGATGGTATATTCTCATTTTTCCATTTGTCTTGATCAGAAAGGAAGACTGAACCATATCACAGGGACATGTCTGCAAAAATACACATACAAACAACATGCAATAGAGATTGGCATACTTTCCGGGAAGCTGATATTTAAATTAAAATCTTTTTAAAGATAAGTTGTGTTTCAGTTTTTTCCATACTTTCCATTTTTCAAATGTACCTTGAAAGTGGACTGTTTTTGACATAACAACTTCCATTTTCAGTGTCAAATGGCTTATCTAAACATTCCCCCCCCCCCAACAAACTCTGCAAGTTAACCCAGGACAGCTGAGAAGAGCATAGGAAGCTCGCTTCCTGGTATTCAGGATGCTGCTTATAAGCACTATCTGCTTATAGAGCTCAAAACATTGTTAGAGACCCCACACACCCACTTTACGGTATGTTTCTGTTGCTCCCCTCTGGGAGGAGGTTTCGAAGTATTTCTAGCAGGACTACCTGATTCCGTAATAGCTTTGTTCCCTATGCCAGTGTTTCCCAAACTTGACAATTTTAAGGCATGAGGACTTCAACTCCCAGAATTCCACAGCCAGCGTTGCTGGCTGTGGAATTCTGGGAGTTGAAGTCCACATGCCTTAAAATTGTCAAGTTTGGGAAACACTGCCCTATGCCATCTGTCTTGTAAACTCACAACATTCGTTTTTCTTGCCATGCACATGTATGCACGACCCAAACTAGACTGCTGTTTCTCTGTGTCATATAACATATGTGGGTATATGTATAATTCTGTATTTATTTATTTTTGTCATATTTATGTAGTGTACATCGGAGGTGGTGATCCTTGAGAGCTATATATAATGAAATTTCATTTTAATGTATGCCGATTAGTATACATTCAAAGTGACAATAAAGTTATTATTCTTTTCTGTTCTATTCCCCCCAACAAACTCTGCAAGCTAACCCCGGCCTTTAATGAGAAATTTTAATTTTCCAGGTTTCAAGTATCAAAAATGCTATGTTTAACTGAAAAAATGTAGCATTAAATAATCAACACTCCCAATCTGTGATATCATAGAAATAGAGCCATATATATCACATTCAGTGCCAGAATTATATATGAATGAGTGAGTCATTTAAGAATTCAGTAAAGATGTACTCAAAATTATTAATACTCAGCTGACAATTGTTTTACTAACTAATGAACAAATGCTTACTATTATATTCAATATATTGAACTTTGAAGAAGGATGTATGTATGTTTAAGTGCTATTATATTCATTGTGGAGAAGCTGAAAACAATGTTGGGTACAGAATACTTTTTGACAACATTAGATGAAATGATTAGCTCAGTAAATAAACTTTGTTCTTAGCCTCATTCCTGTCTCTTCCTTCAGTTTACAGTATCATCAAAGCTGTATTTATGGACAGTTCTCATGAGAGCTTTGACCTTGAGTGTTAATTGCCAGGGTAGTGTTTAAAGTCTTGGATCTGGTTCAATATAGTCATTAAGATCTTGGATTGGGAAAATCCTGATTAAAGTCAGCATTTGACCATGGAGGTTACTTGTTGCTTTGGCCAAGTTACTGTCTTTATATCTAGATTTTTTTTACAGCTTTCTTCACAGCTTTCTTCATTAATAGCATGAGGATTAATTTTAGTGGAGACGCCTCTGTATGTTGTTTTAAGCTCTCAAGAGAAAATGTAGGATATGAATGTAGTTACTGTCAGTCAATCAATCTATCAGACTAATTAAGATTCAGGACAGAGAAAAAATTGTTTCTTGATACAGAAAATAGTTATCTTAGAATTGATGCCAAAAGAGATGATGGTGGCCTCTAACTTAGATGGACTTAATTTAGCTATTAGTAGCTATTGTTTATGAAAGCTACATATAATTGCAATATCAGAGGTAATTTTCTTCACTTAGACATTTACTTTGGTCACTGTGGCAACAGGGTACTGAATTAGATCAACTTAAGACTCATCCAGTCTGTTTACTACTCAAGGACATAATATGTTTATTTGTTCCTTTTTGTCCAGATGGAAGATGTCATAGCTCGTATGCAAGATGAGAAAAATGGGATTCCTATTCGTACAGTCAAAAGCTTTCTCTCCAAGATTCCCAGTGTTTTCTCTGGTAAGATTCAAAATACATCTTGTGTTTCATTCAGTACTGGAAAAAATACATGTGAACAATGATAAAATAGAAAATTAGTACAGACAAGACTCAAAATAATTACTACAAGTCTGTATAATTTATAATAAGGTTTAATTTGGATTAGTAGTTTATATTGTAAGTTCCATGCTGTGTTAGCACATTATTTTGGATACTATGCTTCCCCTTGCCCCCAGCAATTTCTTCTTTGGATGAAGATCTGGAGCTTCTCAAGAAGCCATGTGTTCCTGGAAGATTAATATTGACAAGTGTCTCTTCCTTAGAAAATAGAAAAATAAAAATAAATAAAAAAGACAAGATTACAAAGAAGCAACTTCTGATCTTTTTGACAATGGATTTAAATGCATTTAGATTTCACCTTCTTTCTCTAAAGTTACATCATAATTCTTTCTTCTATTAGCTATTGTTTCTAACTATCAAACCTATAAATCACAAGCTCATTTTTTCTTTATCTTTTCAGCAAAAGGTCCATAAGGATCCAGTCCAGTCACTTTTGTTTTGCGCAACTCATTTTTATTTCCATTTCTCTTATTGTTTGCAGTATTTCCACTTTGTGAACACTAATAAGCAAATTCTTAGTTATCTAAAACATCCAGATTTTTTGATTCCTGCTGAAATAAATTGTTTGTCAAATTTTTGCAATTCAAATATTTTGTATCTTTTTCATAATCTGAATTTCTGGCAAACAGACTACCGGTACGTCTTGTTTTAATTTGATTGGCAAATATCTCTTGAGGAAAACATTCTTGGATATCTCCTCAAGATGTGGACTGTTCCCTACTTATTCCAAGAAAGAAGCTGAGTCCTGCCTGTTGTAGAGAGTGCTGATATGAAAAAAAAAAAGTAAGCTTAGCTGGTTACCAGGTGCAGAAATGCCAGTTTATGGAGAAGAGCAGGATTTCTTAAACATCTACTTATTAATGAAGACTGCTTCACCAGGTTCCCTTTAATGACCTGTAATTGAGCTCTGGGGGGATGGGATTTTCAAATCTCAGGCTTAAAGTTGCCATATCCGAGGGGCTGATGATCAGAAGCAATGAACTTTCCTCACCTTCATGTAGTTACAACATAAATATAGAGAAGAATATTTATAGCTCACGGTTGAAATGAGAAGTCCTTGGTGCTCTCTGAGTTTGGTTGATTTCTTGCAGATGTTTCATTACCCAAACTATGTTGCATTATTAGTACATTGATGATATTATTTAGTTTGGGTAATGAAATATCTGCAAGAAAACAGTCAAGATCAGAGAACACCAAGGACTCCTCACAACATAAATATGTCCTGCCTATTTAGCTATGTCAATATAACAGTGCCTCAATCTGATGTCAGCTCTTACCTAAAGTGACAGACTCGTATCATCCCTAGTTGTACTAATATTAAAATATCACTATTATTGCTTCATGGTGTGACCTTTCTTCTGCTTATCAGATGTGACCGAGACTGCTTTTGAACATAGGTTTAACACTGTTTGGAATAGCATTCACCCTGTGTCCAATACTACTCCAACTAATAGCTAATAACAAGAATTCATCCTGGGTCCAAGAATACTCTTGGTTCCTGACTTTTATTGATTTACTTTTTAATGTAGCTTAGCTGTGTCTTGCACAGAACAGTAGGAGTGAGAGGTGTGCAGAGTTTCTCTGCAAGGTGTTGAGTAAGAAATGAAAAGGACTGGAACATTCTAGAGCAGAGGTATCAAACTCGCAATGTCACGTGACGTGTCGCAACGTATTATGACTATTTTTGCCATTGCTGGCAATGGGGTGGGCGTGGTTTTGCTATGATGCATCCGGCCCGTGGGCTGGCAGTTTGATACCCCCTATTCTAGAGGTTTTTTACTTGGGAACACTGGGATGTGATGCAGAAAATGTTACATAATGGTGGAGAAAATCTAGAAATGACTCTGAGTGAGCTCAATATAAAGACTACATTGTGGTAAGAAGAGAAATGAAGTAGCTCTACTATATTTTTCTTACTGCATTGGCAGATTGTTGGCCAGGGACCTTCTTTAGGGTCCCTAATTCCCTGATTTGTCAATAAAGACACTAAGATATAGCCAAGTTTTGACATTCATGAAGTTCAGTGATGTGCAAGAGCCAACTGTTAAATTTTCTGGAATTTTGTGAGCCAATTGACAGAAGAGTGCTTCAGTGCCTAGCAGGTCAATCAACTGTTCTGTGGCCAGATAGAGAACTAGAGGAAGAGCTTTGTATAAACCTGATATGTTTTCTGTAGCCAGAACTTTATTACATGATAGTTTGTGCAGAGTAATGATTTTTATAGAAAAACAAGAATGAAGTTATTGGTGGATTGGGTTTGATGAATGAGCCTTTATTATTTATTATACATCTAAACCAGAGTCCATTTTTTCAAGAATACAGGAAAAGCCAAGCACTTGGGAAAGGGGTGTATTTCAGGCTTGGCCATAGTCATACTTAACGATATGTACGTGTGTGCATGCACACACATACAAACACAGTTTGTCAATGGGAAGTTTCATGGCATGTATTGCACACACTTGATTGTAACCCTAATAGCTGCCTTTGGGCAGCCTTATTATGCAAAGTGATTATTATAATGGGAGCTGGAATGTAAGCAATTGGTATGTGTTTCCTGAACTTTTGTTGGCCTGGAAAAATTTCTATTTCAGTTGAATCAGAACTGAAATGAAATGCAAATGTTACCTTGTTTTTGGCTAGTGATGATATTAAACAACTGAATGGTTTTCAATATTCTGTGCCTCTGTTTTGAACTGTTTTATCTTTGCCCCCCAAAAAATCAGTAGCAAATCTGAAAATATAAAGTATCTAGTGAGTTGGTATAATTGGAGCCCAGAGGCTCCCTGATAGGGATCTGCCATTCATATTTGTCATCATTTGACAGAATCAGATATAATCACATTGCAGATTAGATGTGTTCTTGTCTGACACTGATTGAAAATGAGTATCAGTAATAAGGAAAGCATTTATATCATGGGTGTCAAACTCGCCACGTCACGTGACATGTCATGACGTAGCATGACTTTTTTGCATTGCCAAAGCTGGGGTGGGCGCGGCCTCCATATGATGCAAACGGCCCGCAGGCTGGCAGATTGACATCCCTGATTTACATTCTCAAAGGTGGTGATTACAGAGAGAATTTTCTAAACTAATTATAAGGTAAGAAAGTCAGATGTGTTAATTATAAAAATAGTGTAGAAGGGTGCACAATTTTTGAATGTTTAAAATGCGATAAAGAGTAGTTGTATAAACATGTTTCCAGAGACTAACCTTTTTATTTCTTCCTGTTTGCTTGAGTTTTCATAGCTGGACCTAAATGTTGAAGAATTAATCAAAGGCTTAGGAGGAAAGAGACAACCTTTATAACATGGCTGACTTGTCAGATGTTTCTGCATGATCTATTTTGTTAAATAAAGTTATATATCCTGATTTATTTTATCCCAATTTTTTAATGAGGTGAATTTTAGTGAATGATTTTTAAAGATGATAAAGGATCAAGAAATTTAATGGGATCTTTTTTTCAGATTAATGGTTTGAAGATGGAAAAGTCTACATTTGAATTAAATCATTCAGACAACTTCAGTATGGATTAAACTATCTACAATGAAGTCACATCTTTGGTTAATTCAGATTGCAATATATAATAGCTTTGAATATAACTTCTGGGAATTATATTGTGAAATCTATTGGTGGTAATCAGAAGGCTACCTGCCTTGTTTTACCTTAACATTTTCTCTACCCTTTTTTGTGTTTTGTCAACACTTAACCTACTGTTCTGCAGGTTTGTTGACCTTGATTCCTACAATCTTCCGAACAATTTGGTCTTTGGGAAAAGCTTCTCTAAGCACATGCTGGAAGTTATCCAGACTCCCTCTTTTGCTGCCAATACAATTCAAGGATAAGAAAACCTCACATTGTCAAATAGGCTCTATAACTTCAGACTAGGATTCTAGTCAAGCATCTCGCCACCTCTGTGGGTGAACTTGGAACAGAGTCAAATGCTGAAACCAGTCAGGTTGCAAACATCTCAATGCTGTATTCCTCCAGTCTTTTTTTTTTTAAAGTCATTTCATGATGGATGCATTTTTAATAGAAGCCCACAAGTTGGAATGTATTGGCTTTCTTGAAATGTTAAGAGTAGTATTGTTAAGAAGCTAGATTTAACAACAAATTAATTTTCTGCTAGACCAGTGGTTCTCAACCTTTCTAATGCCATGACCCCATAATACAGTTCCCCATGTTGTGGTGACCCCCAACCACTTATACACCACCGGGTGCCAGGGGCGTGGCCAAAGAAAAGGGGAAAAAAATGGCGGACAGCCTTGTTTGGTGACCCCCGTGAAATGGTCGTTCGACCCCAAATGGGGTCCCGACCCACAGGTTGAGAACCACTGTGCTAGACCATTTGCAATAATGGAGAATGCTATGCTATTACAGACTCTAAAAGACTGGCTTTTATTGAACTCATTCCCATAAAAAGTCTTATATTGGTTACACACTGTTGCCTGCTTAGCAACATTTATTAAGGTGATCAGCATAAATTTTCAGATTTTTCTTTCATCAATATTTTCCAACTTACCTTATATTTTATTCAGATAAGTGACACACAACTGACTAAACTGATTTTATTTGCTTGAATAAAAAATGTGATCGCAGCCTTTCATTGTTTTTCTTATTTTTCCCTTTTTCAAATAAAGACTTTTAATATTATTTTTGGTTTTGAAATTAACTTTCTTATTTAAAATTTCTTCCAGGTAAGGAATTTATAATTTCTTCCATTTAAGAACGGAAAAGATTTGAGGTTGTCCTTTATGTTTTGGTGGGGTGAAGACAATTTTGTTCTCTTCTTTTCTAAGCTTTAGTTTTTTGCTTTTAAGTTATTCAAGAGTTGGGATTAAGGGAGGATTCTTACTAAAATATTCAGCTCATGAAATGGGACAGGCTAAAGAAGTCCAGCATGG